ATAACTTTCTGTTGCTTAATAATGAAGGATATGTGCTTTAAAATGCACCCTTGATCAATTTTTAGCATTTTGTATACTTCCTTAGAGTACATGTATTTAAGCAATGTCATTTATGATCAGTATGCAGTCCAAGCTAATGGACCACCACCATCCTGTACACTATCCATTACTTATGAAAAGGATATATGACACATTATTATGTTCTTTACAGAAAGCATTTTAGATTTAAACTGCCTTGAAAATTTGAAGAAAAAAACTGACTTAATGTCATTGATTAAATAAGTCTGTAAGTGACTTAGTTTATTGTAATAGTATTTTCATGATAATATCGATTATAAATCTAGGATTCATTGTTTATCTAAGGTTAAAAGTGAATTTAACACTGATTTCATTTTTGAATGTGCCTTTCATTTAACAAAAAAATTATTTCTTGTTTATTTCATGAGAAGATTTCAGATTGAGCATCAATTTATACATATTTCATTTGGTAACCATAATCTATCAACATACAGAATTCATTTGGTAAAAATTGAAAGAACATCATTGTGCTGATTAACTTGTACTCAATTTCCATTAGTATTGGATTAAAATAAAATGATCAATTAGAACAAACAACAAAGAGTAGGAGAAAAGTATAACATCAAGTGTTTACAAGGAAATTATGTTCATTTAATTTTGCTGTCAATTCTTCCAATCTTTAATAGTGATTATACTGTGGTCAGGGTTGCTGTAGTAGGAAGCAAGTCAGCCCTCAATTACACATGACTAATTAATGCAGACTAGCTGAAAGACCCTCCCTCTCCTCATTTTGTCTCCTGGTTTACAGTAGAACCATGGACACACTAGGGAATGGAAAATTTTTGATAAAAACATTCCTTTTCTTGCAAAGAAATGTATCCAATTAAATATAAAATTGCTTAATTTGATCGATAGAATACATAAAGAAATATTAATTTGTATCATATTGCTTGGTATTTTTATAAACAAAATAATTTACAATGTGTTTTACATGTGAAGCATTGTTCCTTTGATATTTTCTAGGTGTCTAATATGTTAATGCATGTTGTTATACACGTATCATTGTAGAAAGTAACTAGTCATTAGGAAATTCAGGGATGTGAATGCATGTATTTTAAAAATATCTTACTAGACTTTTATAGTTTGCTAAAAATGCCTAACTCAATTAGAAGGTTGTCCATAAATACAAATTCACTTAGGTTAGCCTGAGGAGTTTTTTTGATTCTTTATCCTTGGTGAACTTAGCTTATTGTATATTCTACCCCAATAAGGTAAATAAGATTGGGTCTGAATTGTTATTTTGAAGGCCTGGAGGTTCAAAGTTGACTGTAATAAAGTCTATTGTGCTCTGAAGACAGATGCATCATCAAAATGCCCATAAACAAGTTAATAGCATAGTTATAATAAATGAGTTCAATGTGAGCACAAACAGTTCTTCTGAGGAGAATAACTTAAGATAATGCTGCATCAGTTTGAAATATTTATAATCTATATTATCATTGTACTATCTTGCCATAGGATACTGGTACACCTACGACTGTCTTCTTACAAAGTGATCACTGTTTCTGAGTGAATATTTTATCCATATGGATGCTTTAAGTGAAATAAAGAGAGGCACAGATTGAAGTGGACAACTGAAATTTTGTTTTGATTTCTAAGAACTTGAAGTCTTAAAATATTGAAAAAAACCATAAAATAGTTGTCATCTAGTAACATCTGGATCTACCATTGAAAATATAGATCATATACAAGGATTAATATCATTGAGGAACTGAGAAAGATGATCTGCTAAAAGAGCAAATTCACAAGAAAAAAACATGTGAGAGACAATTAGACAGTTAAAGTGGATGGAACATAAAATATTGCTCAGTTGATACCTAATCAAATTTTCACTGGATGTTTATATTTTTCTTCATGTTTGGGTTATTCCCTGATGTTTCTGAATTCGCTTTCTGTTCCTTTGGCATTCTCAAGCCATTTTCAAATTCGGATAATCTGAATATTCTAAATGTCACCCTAAAATTCTTGTTAAGTGTTCTTCATTCATCATTATCCTTTTCCTCCTCTATGTGCTGTCAGATAGCCTGTCTTTCAGCCTGTTCAGTTCAAGTCTCACTTGCTAATATGCCTTCTATTGCAGTTTTAATATTACTTAGCATATTTTTCAGTTCAAGGATTTATATGAATGTTAAAGCTATTTCTCTTAAGGTTCTCTGCTAATATGCTGATATATTTCCGAGTTTTCTTCCATTTTATTGAGATTTTAAAAAATAATGATTTGATTTTATATTTGAAAAGCCTCTCATACAAACTGCCTTCTGGTTAGTTTCTGCTACCTTATCTTGCCCTTATGATATAGACATTATTTCTTGCTGCTTGGTAATAAGTAAAGTCATCTCAGGACTGAAATACATGGTGTTTATTTCACTCGTTGTAGTCTGAGTTTTCTTATGCCTGCCTTTCCAGAAATCCTGAGAAGCCTGGTTTTCTTTTAGCTTGTAATCACTTCCTTTTTTTGGCACAAGATGGTTCCTGAAGTCCAGTATTCCCATGGGTGTACTCTCTTGGTTTGTTGTCACTGTTTCCTAGTGGAAGACAATGCATGATCAGATTCTTAAATACATAACTGAGTGCGATCAGCAGTGCAAGATTTTTTTCTGGCAACACAAAGAGGAGCCACCATGGAGAGACCTGCCGCCTGCTCCCATGCATACCTGCAGACACAGATACTTCAAGGGTGTGTCAATGCTGGATAGGATCAAGACCCATATGTCTATAGAAAGCCTAATTCGTGAGAAGAACAAAGGCACATAACCACTGTAATGATTCCAATAGACTGAGTCTATGTTCTTCTACATGGCAATGAACCCGTTTCAGATGCTCCATCCTTAGGCAGTGATGAGATGGCAGTCATTGATATCTGCTTGTTAGGTTTCACCAGCCTCTGACTGAGTGTCAAGGCAATATCTTGTGCTTACTACACTGTTTTAACAAATGGAGTTTGCTCCATAACATTGACTGTCCAAATTTGGAAAAGTGTTAGTATAGAATATCCTTAGAATAGCAAGATTGATGTTATACTGCACTGTCCCTGAGTCTCAAAGGCACAAGACCTACACAGAATCTGGGGTGGGGGTGGCTACCAGCTGGTATCATGCAGACCTGGTCTATCCTTCCAGTTTGAAGTCTCTGGCTAGTTGCCAAACTAGGCTTTAGGGTCCAACTGAAAGCTATGGCCTGGGGATAGCTGTGCTGTCCAAGGCTAAGGGATGGTTGTTTTTGACAGTTCTTTGTCTAATAATGTTAATGCTGTGTTGGGTCACACCTAAGTCTAAAAGTCAGCGAGACCAGTACAAGTCTCTGGGAGACTGGCATGTCCCAAGCCTACAGAAGTGTTGCGACTTGAGTCTGTTCCTAGTATGCTGGCCTCTGTCTAATGTCCAGGCAAGCCTTGAGGATTTTGTCTTTAAACTCTGGTCGGGGAAAAGGAACTTCACTTTTCTGCCTATTGTTGGATCTCACTGCTGTGGGTTTCTCACAGAGATTCAATGCAAAGTCCTATGCTAGTTCCTGTACTCAGTACCTAGATGGATGGAGTCTTGTTCTTCTGTCTGGGTTCTAAACTGAAGAAAGTTTGGTGGCAGTATTCTCCATCCTAACAGTTCCAGCAGCTCATTTGGCAGGTGTCAGCACAAAGAAGGACAAGATTTTATTAACACAGAGAGAAATTAAACCTTATGCTGAAAACAGTAAGCTAGATAACAAATCATTATTTTAAACTGTGTTCTCACAATATCAATTATTTTTAAAACATCTGAAAGTGTTTAATATAAGAACACATATAGTACTTTTGGGACTGGAGAGAGAGCTCAGTAGTTAAGAACACTGACTGCTCTTACAGAGGATCTAGGTTTGATTCCCACCACCCATATGACTGCTAATAACTGTCCGTAATTCCAGTTCCAGGGGAATCCAATGCCTTCTTCTGACCTAGGTGGGCATTGCATGGCATGGGTGCATTTACACACCTGCAGGAAATACACTCATGCAGATA